AGTACTTTGCAGACCGAGTGTGCCTTTTGGCCGTTGAAGCGCTCCATTTAGTTGAGAGTTCTATCTTGAGAACAAAGCTCACATGCATAGTATTGAACAAAGCTATGGGATAGTCTCGATCCTGCACACTCTATTGGAAAAGGCGGCACCTAGGAGGCGCTTAGGCACGCTTAGTCGCTAGGCAATGACCAAACGTCTCTCCTAGGGCATAGGCAAAGCTCTAGGTAGGTCATGCAAGAAATTATCCACTCAACTGATAAATCATGTCATATTACACATACATGCCAAATGGGCTATATTTCAATGGCAGTAGATGATAGTTTACTCACTTATAAGAAATAAATTAATATTGATACACGTATAAGAGCCCATCTGATAGCCAAAACTATACGTCCGCCTAGGCTATGTCTGGGCCGCTTAAGGGCCACCTAGGCGCTGGGCGAAGGCCAACCGCATTGCTTACGCCTAGCTTTTTTCCAACCTCAACCAACATGTTGATGAAGATAAGAGGCATCACATGCCTATAGATGAGTGAACGACATCCTTGTGATCCATGAGGCACTGCAACCGGATCTCCAGGCGGGCATGAGCTAAGCGGCATCACAACCTCACACCAACATTAGTAGGTCGATCAGGAGATGGACGTGAATTTGTTTAGGATGAAGTCGTAGGGCATCGGTATGTCACAACATGCAACCCATTCTAGCCCCAAAACCACCCTACGCACAAGAAAAAGCTAGTTCAACGCAACACCTCAGGAAGGAGACATTGCCCTCAAGTTTCATCGTCACTAAGCATTAAGCCAGATCCACACACCCAACTAGATAACGAAGTAAGATTATGTCGATGCAAAAGTTCCCAAGTTCAAACCGGGCAAGAGGGACCTGAAAGCAGCAGCTCAAGGCGAGATACAGGCTTCAGAATGCTACTAGGCTACCATAGATGCTCCACATGAGGCACCCACAAGCACACAACATTCTATGGGTGGGGAGAAGAGCACCATGAGAGTGCATCCTAGAGGAGAATGGCACTTACAAGCGTCATTGCAATTGGTTCCAACCAAGGATAGATGCGAGTTTTCACATGAAACTACCTTGACCTCTACCCTTCCTGCACGAGTAGACCCTGGCTACATTTGGCAGCCATCTCCATCAATATCAAGATAGAGAACATTGATGCAACACGAGGATAACCGGAGATGCCTCCGCTTGGCTAGATCTAGCCTGTAGATTCGGGACAAACATTGGTGGCACAACTCACACTAAGCCAAGAAGGCCTGACAGTGACCAAACCCATGTAGCTTTTGACATCGCGCGTGTGCTGAGGATAGAGAAAGCATCCACAAAATTCATTGCTAAATACATTCGTCGGGAAGCTATTGTTGCACCTCCATGTTAGCCACACATATCCGAGTAGCGGGATCCAACAAATGGCGGAGGGGGAGATCACATGATAATTTAACATGATAATTAAGATACACATTAAAGCAAACTCTTCACGCCAGACATTTACTTTATCTTTTAATATCACCGCAAAATGTCTATGGAAAGAATTTAGATTTATCTTGAACATGTGTTCTCGCTAATGGTATATTTACACGCTTGGTCCAAATTAAAATGTAAGGCCTACATTATAGCTCATCGGTGTTCAAGGGTGGACTAGTTGTGTGAAGGAAAACGCAACACCGAGTTCTTCCATGCTCGGGCTGCTAACCGCAAGCGAGCCAACAGAATTCAGTGTCTGGTCTGTGATGATGGGTCTTATTGTGACACTCGAGGGGAGATTAAACGTATGGTGCAACAATTATATGAGAAACTTTTCACTTCTGAACCTTGTGATGCCACTGATGCAGTTCTTGATGCTATCCCTCAAAAAGTTTCTCCTACGATGAATGAGGATTTAAGTGAGCCCTACACTAACAAGGAAATCAAGGTTGCTTGGTTCCAGATGGGACCTACAAAGGCTCCAGGACCGGGTGGTTTTCCAGCACTCTTCTACCAGAATCATTGGCACTTCTTAGGAGAGGAGATTTGTCATGTTGTGAGATGCTTTTTGGAAGGAAGTTCAATTTCGAAGGGTTTTTATTGACTCGGTGATCTTATTCCTAAAGTCACATGGCCCAAGCACCTCAAGAACTTCTGTCCAATTAGTCTATGATATGTTCTTTACAAGATTGACTCCAAGGTTTTGGCCAACCATTTGAAGTTATTGTTGCATGTTGTCAGCTCTGAGTTTCAAAGTGCCTTCGTGCCTGGAAGATTGATCACAGACAAATCTATCATTGCCTTTGAATCTCTACATGTACACTATCAGACAACAGTGAGCTAAACAACATTTCTTTGCCTTTAAGATTGATATGCTAAAAGCTTACGACCGAGTTGAGTGGAGTTATCTTCATGGCTGTCTCTCCCGCCTTGGTTTTAACCATACTTGGATCAACTCGGTGATGAGGTGTGTTACCAATGTCCGCTATGCTGTCAAGGTTAATGGTGAGCTTACTACACCTGTAGTTCCATCGAGTGGGATTCGTCAGGGTGATCCCATCAGGCCCTATATGTTTCTGCTCTGCACTAAACAAATGCCTAGTCTGCTACTTCGAAAGGAGAGTTGTGGCGAGCTACATGGCATTTGGAATGGTCACTCTGGTCCTCCTATCTCACATCTCCTGTTTGTCGATGACAGTATCTTATTTGCAAGATCTGATGCACGTAGTGTGGTGGCTCTGGAGTCCACTCTCGACCTGTATTGCTCTTGTTCTGGCCAGTTAATAAAAAACGACAAGTCTTCTTTGTTCTTTGGTCATTGTTGTTCGAAGAGTTTTAAACAAAGAGTGGAAGCTAGTCCGGGAATCTCTAATGAAGTTTCAATGACACATACCTCGGTATGCCCACCGAGGTGGGTAAATCCCGTACTAGTATCTTCAAGTTCTTATCGGATAGGGCTTGGCGATGTGTTCATGAATGGTCTGATCGCCCAGTCTCAAGAGCGGAGAAAGAAACATTGCTGAAATCTTTCATTTCCAGGTGATCCTGGCTTTCATCATGAGCTGCTTTGAACTCCCAAAGGGTACTTGTGGAAAGTTTTGACAAATTATTGTGGATGAGTGGTGGGGCGGATGAGAAAAATAAGATACACTGGAGATCATGGGACTGGCTCTCAACGCCCAAGTCACTTGGCAGGATGGGTTTTCGAGATATGCACATCTTCAATATGGCCATGCTGGGCAAACAAGGGTGGCGATTACTTACTGATCCAAACTACTTGTGTGCTTGTGTTTTAAAAGGCTGGTATTTTCCGCACACGAATTCGGCCCTGAGGTTGGCTTCTGCCACTTGGTGCTGCATTCTTGCTGCCTTGGACCTGCTAAAGAAAGGAGTTCAATGGGGGATTGGGGACGGCAGTGGCGCCCACATTCTCGCTGACCACTGGATTGCATTATCTTCGCCAAGTGTTCTTCAGCCGGTCTCTCCTATTCCTGCCAATGCTAAAGTTCAGTGCATAATTGATGAGGACATCGGTCCGAATGAAGAGACAATGTGTGCCTTCTATAGGAATGACATTGCCTTTGAGATTCTTCGGATCCCAATCAAAAGTCATGGCGAGGATTTTGTTCGACGGTCTTTCACAAGGTTTGGGGAATATATTGTATGATCAGCCAACAATTTGGCCCGAAACCATTATTTGTTTATAGAAACCTATATTGGAGGTGTTATGGCCCGTGCAAAATAAAATATGTCCATGCCTTATGTAAATATTGTTCAGCTTATTCCAAGGTGGGATGTAGATGTACCATATTTTGATTGAAGGCAAAGGATTATTTGTCAATTTATTTGAATTAAGAAATTGATATCATGTCATAACATTGTGAATCTAAGGTCCCGCTTGGAGCAAAAGGAAATCTTGGAGTTTCGAAGAATTAAAATTCGTATAGGAAATATTTCTACAATGACATTCGGAACAAAGGAATGGTTCTTCAAGATTCCTATGAAATCTATGGAATGGAGCGATTTATAGAAATTTGGGAGGAAATCAAACGTGAGGTTTTACCTAATGTTCTTTTTCTCCTTATGTTTAGAACTCACGCTTTTTTCTGTGCGGTTTCAAACGGTTGTTTTGGAGTATTCTTGAAGGATATTCAGGCGAATCATGCATTGTTTCTTCGTTCCCACATTCAAACAGAGCCTAGTTCCAGCCAGTCAAAAAATAAAAAACAGGGCCTAATTCCATCTTTTTCAAACTAACTTAGATTCCTTCGTGCTCCAACTCAAGGACCGAAATACAAGAAGCCTGCCAGGAATCCAGCACTAGCTACCTTTGAGCCTGTGAAGGGGTTGCCCAACATTTCATTCTATTTTCCAGTATAAAAACAAGCAAAAGGGTCCCTGACGAACCGCAGCAAAAGAGAGGAAGAGCCAGAGCGAAATTTAAGATAGTTCAGAGAACTGAAAAAAATGAAGGAACACTTGTTCAGACTTCAGCGAGCTGCGAAAGTAAAGATAGTTGAGACTTGAGAAAGCTGACAGGAAAGAGAAGTCCTACGAAGCCCTAGAAGGCTAGCCGCTAGCAGCAATGTCATAATGAAGTCGTCTATTCATCCACACGGCCGTCGACACGTGCCCCCGTCCTATCCCGCCTCGACCGAACTATCCATCTCCCACGTCTGCTCTCTGATGTGCGGCCACCTTTACTGGCCCCCATTTCCTCGCTGTGGATATGGATTCCGGTCCGGATCGGCACTGTTGCGTGTCCAGCGAGGGCGTGGGACTAACGTTACATCAAGTCATCAATCACCCCCTCCACCACCACCTTCGCCAGAGCTACAGTGAGAGAGAGACGCAAACGGGTGGACGAGCTAGTAAATCATTGGTACAGTAATTGTGAGAGAGCGAGAGAGACTTGAGCACCGAGCAAGCAAAGCATACGATCAGACATCCCTCTGCTGGCGGCAAGAAGTAACAGGAGAGAGAGAAAGAAAGGGAGGAAGAGGAAGAAGGAGGAAGATGGGTCGGGGAAAGGTGGAGATCAGGCGGATCGAGAACAAGACAACCCGGCAGGTGACGTTCACCAAGCGCCGGAACGGGCTGCTCAAGAAGGCCTACGAGCTCTCGCTGCTCTGCGACGCCGAGGTCGCCCTCGTCATCTTCTCCGGCGGCGGCCGCCTCTTCGAGTTCTCTAGCTCCTCATGGTACGTAACTAAACCAACCCTATCCGTTCATCTTCTTTTTCCTTCTCTTTTGGTCTCACTTGATCTATGGGTTCGTCAAGATCTGGTCAAACAAAACTCTGATTTTCTTGCCTTCAGTTCAATTAACCAAGAACATGAGAAAACATCCTTATTTTGCGTGACGAGCGAGTGTCCCTTCCTTTTTTTGTGCGTGGAGTGTTGCAGCTCCGGAAAGGACAACTGAACTAGATAGTGATAAGCGTCGGATCTGTTGACCACATCGATCCTGAGGTAGATTTCTGGAGTTCGCGACGGACAGCTATTCAGTACATGTACACCTTATCATAATTACTCACATTACTTGCTATATATATAATCATTTAAAAAAAACATTACTTGCTATACTCGGCAAGAACAAGAAAGCGGTCCATGAAGTTGCTGCTTATTCCTTCCATATTTAGAGGATATTTCGCTGGCCCATGCTCTACTCACAAGATCTCTATCTCCTCCGCATATGCTCATCAGATCCATACATTTCTCACCCAAAATGGTAAATCTAGTACACGTACACAACGCCGGCTGGGCTCATGTCGTCAACAAAATTAAAGAAGAAGCGAGATGTGGGCTTTGGCTGGAACTATAAGCTAATATAAGCACCTTTAGGAACCTTTTATGCCGCAAGTAATTTCGATCTTGTTTCCTGTCCTTTTGGGGCTTGGCTGATGCCGGAACCTTTGTTTCTTGTACCTAAAACTCTCCTTGCTTTAATGAGAAGGCAAACATCTTGCCATCGCTTCAGAAAAGATGCTCAAGAGTTTGGCTTACTCTAGGATGTGGTGAGAAGCTGAGATCTGTGATCCATTTACTGTTCCATTAGTTACTGTTCCACTGAGGGCAGCAGCAGCTCGATCCCCGGAAGTTCATCTACTATCTTCACTGAGCCGAGCCCCGTGTAGAACTACCCGTTATTCCGCGCACTGACTGCCGAACCGTCAAAGATATCAAGTGAACTTTCTTATTGCACGTCATGTCGTCAAAGCAACCCAGCTTAGCTTGCATGCAATATACCGATTGAAGTAGATATATATGTGAGTAGTGTTTACTCCACCACGTGCTAAACTGGGTGAACTGATGCATGCACAGTACATTAAATGATATACATGCATGCGAGAAAATGTATACACGGTTAACTTTGCTCTCTCACGAGGATCTTATTACTAGGAGCAATTATGCTGTTCTACCAGATGGCGTGTGTATACTTGTGAAAAGAACATTACGTACTAGCTAGACATAAACATGTGTATAACCTTGCTGCGGAATGTGTTACATAGAGTCCTAAACCCCTCTGCACTAACAGGTTGAAATAGATTCAAAATCAGGATTTTTGGCTACAAAATCTGGTCCAGTGTGGTGACAATTTCAAATCTAGTTCAACTTGCCACCAGCTCAATCCCCGGAAGTTCATCTAAAAAATCCACGGTGGAACTTACTCGATCTGTAAACAACTTTTGTGAGCCTTTCTTTCAGTGTGGTGACAATTTACAGCTTTTCAAGCAAGACAAATTCCAGTTCAGTTTGTATTTATGGATTTTAATAAAGTTCTATTTCATCTTTGTTTTCTTCTTCTTCAGCTTAAAGATCATTTTCTACTCCGATGACATTCTTTCACTACTTAGATCATTTCTAAGGTGACATACTACAATATCATGTGTTCAGTCTAAATGTTATTAGAAGTATTGACAGATAATAGTTTTCTGGATAATGGAAGATTAGCTTTCCTTTCGTTTGCACCTTACACGCAGTCATGACAAAGCCTGTTGCTATACCGGCACCCATGTTGGGGCATAAATCCCGTGATAACTTGTTGATGTCCTCCATAATGACCTTTTGCTGGTCTGTTCGCTGCAACATTGACCATAACCTCATCTAGTTGATAGATAAGTAAATAGCCTGCAAAGGATTGAAAACAATCATTTATTCAAACAAAACATCATTATGGCAAAGCTAAATGGACCAACACGATTCTAAAAAAAATGGACCAACACAAAGCACCAAGACCAACACAAAATAAGTGATCTTAGAGCCCCCAAAATCTTATGATGCTAGTTCCAAACACATGAGGAATACAATTAGGGGGTAGGGGGGATTTTAAATTACAAGCCAACAAAATGAGCAATCAAATTAGACGAGCAAAATGACAAGCAAGGAAAAGTTGACCGATGTAGTAAGAAGAGCCTTGTACATTGAGCTGACCAAAAAGATGAACCTCTTGGAGCCTTGTATAGTCTAGACTGATAAATAAGACATCTAAAGACATAGTTGGCCTCATTGAGTTGAGCATTTACAAATCGTGTATAGTTCCCACTCCCTTAATATGGGACAACAATAGGAGACTGAAACTTGATATTAGCTTGGGCACTGCCCATCACCTCTCGAACAGAAATACGCTTATGTCAAGCAACTTTAAAAATATGCGAGAATTCAAATTTTAGTACTCTATGGGTAAGGATAGAAAAATCATCTTTGAATCTTGATCTCCAAGAGGCAATGGTGGACACAATGCCCCTGAAATACTTATCATTCTTTTCTGTCCACAGAGTCCAGGACGCAACCAAAAAGATGTCCTTAAACATGGGCTTGCTCCAAAGTTGCTTCGCTTGGGTGATCATATGGAACCTTGAGGTAAAGGGACCGATCAAATATCTAGGCTAGCCCAAGAAGATTTGCTAAATTGGTTACCAAAGATCATGTGCTCAATCGTTTCTGCAATGTGCAAATCCATATAACAGACAATCCATGTCACCGCCAATATTGTAGTGTCTTCGATTAAGCATGTAAAGGGTATTTAACCTACCATAGAGCAGGAGCCAACCAAAGGCCTTAATCTTTAGGACACTTAATTAGAATTCTAGATCCATCTATATGCCTAGTGGGCTTGAACAACTTTAAAGTAAAAGGCGTACTAGTGACTAGATTTAAACTCTCTTGAGCCCCAAACATAGTGCCATATATCATGCATGGCTTCCTCAAGAACTATGTGGGTCGTCAAGGGTTGAAGTTCACGAACCTCTGCATGGGCATGTATGGAAAGTTGTAGGTGAAATGCCTCCCCAACAGCCACAATCCCCAAGAAATCATTGACATAGATATCCTCCGAGGAAGCAAAAGAGTAGGACGTTGGGTGGGACACAAAAAAATGGAAAATAAATAAATGAAAAAGGGTGGGACACAAGGCAAGTCGTATAGAAGTACCACAATGCACAACAATCCGAGAGGCGCCTCGGAATACAGGGCTAAGATTCATAATATCTCGCCACCAAAAGGACCCACAAGGGTCAACAACATGCGGAATTTTTGCAGCATGATAGATTGACCAAATAAGATTTGGGAGTTACATGCGGTTATACAATTTGTGAACATATTTCATGAGGAGGGCATCACATCCAACCTGAAGATTAATAACACCAAGGACACCGTGAGTTTTAAGGCGACATGCCATATCCTGCTGCTAATTAATTGCATTGGTCTCCTTGCTCGGTTTTCTTACATAGACTTCTCCTTCCGATTCTGACTAGGAGCTCTATAATTTTTGGAGTAAACACAAGAATGCGTAGAGAAAAGGTTGTTAGCGAAGTAATGGCACGTTTAGAAGGGACAGTTTTCCACCATAGGAGATTATAGACAATGTCACTGAAAGTTTTGCTCCACACGTACAACTAAGGGCATCAAATCTTGAATTGTGGGGCAAGTTGTTCTGCAAGGATGGCCAAGGTATGTGAAAGGTGTCACACTATGACACAAACAAATATCTTAGATATGGACTGATCAAGGCAGCCTCAGTGCTGATTGGAATGAGTGATGACTTATGGAAGTTGATACTAAGCCTAATTGAAATAGCATAACAAGTCAAAATGTGTTTAACCCGAACAACTTGAAGGGGGGCATGCCGGCAGGACCAAAACCGTATCGTCAATATATTGAATCATATGGTAATATATTTAATCTGAGCAACTTCTAGGATCGCCAACTCTCAACACCATCATCGCTTCACAACCGTCAAAGTCGAGAGCCCAGTCCCCTCTTGCCCAGGCTTGAGGGAACCGTATGGCCGGACAATCTGGACCACACGGGGGCAAGAGCGTACCGACCTGAGGAACAATCCAACCCACCGTAGATCTATGCCGCTACCGAAGATAAACCGAGCCCCATCAGGAACCAACCGAGCTTGTCGCTGCACAACCAGCAACCCACTGCCCAAGACGGAGCCTCCAAGGAGAGAACAATGCTTAGCACCGCCACCACCCAATCACAGGGATTTGGTGTTTTCACCTGGGGCACAAGGGAAGGAGAGAGCATTGGAAGTTGTACCTGATTGTTGTGACCAAGGGGAAGAATGGCACCTGAAATGCCATCAACATCATGTCCGCCATAAACGACAAGGGTTTTCCTCAGACAAAGGCTCCTAGACTAGCACCCACCAGGTCAGCTGTGAAGTCCCGCGAGAAAGGACCGCCGCGCGGGGATCCCGTCGGCTTCCACCGGCAGTGGCTAGGGGGGAGCGGGGAAGGAGGAGGTAGCGCTACAGAACCTAGGTCGCTCCTGATTCTTCGACCCTAATTAAATGTTGTGAAATACTCATGAGCTACGTACACGTTAAAATGTGTGAACAAGAAAAATGAATAAATCTTTGCAAAACTGAGAGATTGAAACTTTTAAATGCTTGCTTGCACCAGCTCCAGCTACACTATTGTACCTTTGCTAGTGACCGAGAATCGTGCATTACATTGTATTAGGAAGAATATTGTGAATATATACTCACTCCGTCCCAAAATAAATATCTTAATCATAGTACAATTTTGTACTAAAGTTAATATAAGTTGAGACACTTATTTTGGAACGGAGGAAGTATATTCTTAGGGATGGTTGTTTGCATCACAATGATGCAGAGGCCACAGGTTTTAACCTCATTTATGGAAAAAAAAATCTAGTCTTGGGTAGTTTAGAAAAAACCTGACATTTGGGACCCCCTGCTTTGACTAATTGCACAGATTAAAATTTACCCCCTTTCACCATATTTGACCCGCAGACAAACCAGAGACGCTACTACAAAATAGACCATCTCAGTTAGCTTACAAATCCCACTGTTGGTGTGTATACGTGTAATGTGGCAACCAGTTAGTGATTCCAGGGGCTTTCGTGAACTGGTGATGAACTGGATAGGATAGAGTCTCTCTGATCGATGACCAGGAATAAGATAATAACTCGTATCTCGGCCGATTCTTGCCACCTGTGAAATGACTAAGCGTAGGTAGTTTTCCCACATGCAAAACTTCATGGGATAACTCTATGACAATTGGATCTGCGGATCATCTGATGATTCTTTTTCCTCTTACCAGTAATTGTTACATGCAATGCACGTCACTATTCATGTCCAAAATAAAATTCACGTTAATATTGTGAAGGAAATTAATTGCACATTGATATTCGGTAGGACATCAGTTATGCCTTAATTACATGGTTTGTATTGACATTGGTATTTGGTATTATACTAATTGCATGGTAAACATGTTAAACGGTCATCATTGGAGCAATCCAGATCACTGGATTGACACGAATTGATGGTCCAAATTAACTAGATCTGCCATTTTAGATCGTTTTATGCTTCATCCTTTGGGGGAGGCGTGGTCATATATTAAATAACACAAGTCCTTACAAAAATGACATTTACATAAAAATAAGATTACATCCAAATTCTTAGGGGTGCCAAAATCTTCGTCCTCCCGAATCCACCAACAGCACGCCATGAGCAAAGCTCGATGCCTCCTCTGGCCTCCGCCTCGGCGGAGCTAATTTATTTAAACCCAGGAGCTTTTATAAGCAACCGGGGAGTGGTCAATGTAGACCAAAAGATATCAGCGATCACAATATGTGTAGCAAATCGCTGTCCCGGAGAACAAGACACCGAAAAGAGCTTGTAGATACTCCAGAGACCACAAACCTTTACCGAATCCAATGGGATCCACCGGAGACCAAAGCCGACTGGATCTAGGAATATTTGTCGAAGACACACCTCCACATGCCCTCCATTGGAGCAAAGTGAAGGGAACGTGCTATGCAACAACGAAATTATTCTACACGATTACACCCAGGAACACTATGATGGTGTGGGTAATGATTAGACACATCGACAAGCTGAGTAGCAGAAGTAGTGTAGTTTGTCGCTGAAGCGCGATGATTCCCGCAGGTAAGTTATACCTCCTAGCCACGAGAATTTCTCTAATGATGCACCGATTAAGAGTCAAAGTAGGCGACCCCTCCGAGGTATCCGCGCGTTCTGAAGTAGTATCTAGTAGCACTCAGACGTCCAAGAAGAAGAGATATGAGAAAACTAGAGATCCTAGCGGCTTTCACATCTAATTAGGATTCTAATCTAATTAGACCAACTAGATTTGGGGTTGTACTCCAAGTAGATAGGGGGAGCGAATTGGGGTTGTACCCCAAGTAGGATTCCCCAAATGGCCCACTGGGGGCTTCCTTCTTGGGTCAGCCTAAGAGGGACTTCTTACACATATTAAATCCTTGATTTTCTAGAAGTTTCCCAAACCCATTCTGGAACCTTTTGGAACTTTTCATATATAGGTCTGGACTTTTTGAAACCATATTATACCTTTCCGGAATTCCTGAAACCCTTTTGAGACCATCTGAAAAACTCTCACCTTTCAAGACACTTTTCTTGGATGGCTATTTAGGCTGGCTGAAAACAATATTCTGGCATGAGTAAATGCATCACAAATACTTCAAGCTATCTTTGATGAGCCTTCATCATTATACTAGGCATGTTGCCTTGGGTCGCCATAGATCCTCAAAGTCCTTCCCTCAAGAACAAAACCAAGATCGCCTTTTCATCGAGGACTCCCTTCTTGACTCTAACCGGTGCCCTATACATAACCCCATATTACAGCTCCTAGCCAATTGTCGCATCTGCCAACAGTTGGCCCTTGATGTGGAGGACACAACATAACATATCCAACCATAGGTGATGGTCATGTTTGGAGGGATCCTTTGGGATCAAGCCCGCAATCTCGACCAGCCATGGGACCTATGGGTCCGACTTTGGATTCAATGGAGACATGTGATATGACATGGGAAGAACCCGTTAGACTAGCCGTATGCTCCAGTTATGGCTGAACGGCCCCTTGGCCACACAATAGTATCATCTTCAAAGTTGTACGACCATGCTATGGGCTTGACCAGCCAGGGGCTCACCTCCTCATTGTGACCCCAACCATCAATAGTTGCAATGTCAAGAAAGTTCTCATAGATGGTGGGTACTCCCTCAACATCATTTTCATAAAGACTTTTGAATGGCCATATATATCGATAGCTTATTTCAATCATACGTAATTCCCAATTTATAGCATGGCCCACAAGACACTTATTGCCACCATCATGTGCCATCTTTCTATTGAAGCAGGCATCTTTCTATTAGCATAATACATGTACCAGGATCACATCTCAATAGCAGGAGGTGACACGGCTTTAGTGGCAGAGCTATAGTGCAAGGTTTTTGCCCTCACGGCCCAAGTTCTACCTCACACAGTGTATATTGCTACAAAATTGCGCGGGTCACAACCCATCTTTGCTTCAACGAAGATCTGCCATTACCAGCTTATCTCTGAGGGCGTCTAGCATGCATTATATGATACTAGGATCGCATCTCAGTCAGTAAGTGTTGCGCACATACTAATATTCATTTTTTTTACATTTCCAATGCTTTTGGATATTATAAATGTCATCACTTCTCTACATTTTTTGCAGGTCAAGCAATATAAAATTGATTCATTTGCTTTCATATGTCAACAGCATGTACAAAATACTTGAGAGATACCGCACGTGCAACCATAACTCACCAGAAGCAACCCCTTCAGTAGAAAATGAAGTAAGCATCTCAGAATCTTAATACCTTTCTGAATATAAAGAGGTTAGGGCATCTCTAGTAGACCCCCTAAACTAAGACTAGCAAAAGTACTCCCTATCCCACTTTGCCAACTATTTAAGGAAATCACTATTCTGCAACTAGCAGATCCCCTATCCTATTTTTTTTGTTTTCCCAAATTTTCGAACTTACCAAACATTAAAATAAATAAAACCTTGAATAATGAAGTGCACACAATTCAAATGCATAAAAGATTTAATGTACTCAAACATATACCATCCAATTCAAACAAAACATATGTCAGGACCCCGACTCAATGCCACATCGATCTAGCATGTAACACATCATATCACCTTGCGGCCTCACGCACGGTATTTCCACGGGTGCCACCTTACCTGGCCCGGGACCGTTTGCGCCTTTTGGCTCACGTATATGATAGTGTCGCTAGCATCCATATGACAAAGAACCCGGGCTGACATGGCTAGTCGTGAACCCAAAGTGGCACTAACTTACAGGGACAGGCATCCATGACCCAGCATCGAACGTGTCGGTCATCAGCGAGTGAATCCAGGCTGTAGCACTGGGCTAGCAGGACTTCTGTGAACCGGGCTGTAGCGGGCTAACAGGACTCCGGTATTCATCGCGTGACATTTCCCCGAAGGGACAGACACAGGAACGAAGAAGGACACATGCCGGCCAGCCTAAGTGTTCCGGAGCAGTAGCAAGCTACCATGGCTCAGTGGAAGCACTAGGAGACATTTCCCGGTAAGAGAGGCTACTAAGGATAAACAACTAGATAGTCAGATCCCACACATACCAAGCATTTCAATAACATACACGCAATATCCTCGATATGTGCAAATACAACATGGCATCACAACATGACTCTACAACTCAAGTATTTATTCATTAGGCTCCGAGGAGCGAGATATTACAAACATGGGTCTCATGACCCAACATTCAGAGCATACAAATCAAAGCACAAGCGGAAGCTATCATGTCTGAGTACAGACATCTATAAATGAAAAAGGCTGAGAAGCCTGACTATCTACCAGATCCTGCCGAGGGCACAAGATCGTAGCTGAGGTAACAAGCTAAACGTCGAAGTCCACGCGGAACTACTAGCGAGACCGAAGTCTCTCTACAAAACATAAAATAGGCAAACGTGAGTACAAATGTACCCAGCAAGACTTACATCAGAACTAACTACATATGCATCATTATCAACAAAGGGGATGGTGGGGTTTAACTGCAGCAAGCCAGCTTTGACTCGGTGGCTATCCTAAACTACAACTGCAAGCAACTCTTTGAGGAGGCGCACACGAGTCCACATATTCACCAACCAATACACCACTATGGAACCGCTCTCGTCTCCCTACGAGAACGCCATCCATAGCACTCACGCTTATCTTGCGTATTTTAAAGTATCCACTTTCACTTGTCTATGAACTGATATAAGCAACCCAGAAGTCCTTTACCGCGGACACGGCTATTCGAATAGATGATGTTAACCCTGCAGGGGTGTACTTCTTCATACATGTTTCCACCACTTAGCGTCTGCACACGACGTGTGCTCGACAGACTTCAAGCGAAAGCCGACGTGGGTGTAGACCACGACCTACCTAAACACTCAAGTCTCTAGTCCAGGTTTATCGCCTATTCGGGTTCCATCCATGAGGAGATCCGGCCGGAGTTTCGCTCACAGCCCCAAACGATGTGAACAGGGTTCCCGAGATACCAAACGGGCATCCGGTACACCGTGCCACGTACCTACCGCATCACAGCCCACCCCTACGGTCAGCGCTGTCCACGGCCTCCAGTAAGCTACAAACACCAGAAACTACTTGCAACTCCTGGACAGAGGACTAGGGCGAATAAGAAGTCGAGCGGGGTCATATTTCAGGGCCCAATGTATGGTAGTAGCTGAATCATGGATCACAAACACAGAACTCAGTTCCTGAGGATGGCTGCAATGAGACAACCCACCATGTACTCCTACATGGCCTCTCACCGCTACCTTTACCAAATCGTGTTCACACGCTTAGCTCACACACAGTAGGACATGTTCACACGCCTCTGATTCATCCCCGATGAATCAGACCTGACTCAACTCTAGGTAGTAGCAGGCATGACAAACAAGCATGAATGAGTAGGCACAACAGGGCTCAAACAACTCCTACTCATGCTAGTGGGTTTCATCTATTTACTGTGGCAATGACAGGTCATGCAACGGATAAAGGGGTTCAGCTACCGCAGCAAGTAACAAATATGTCGTTGTTGTCCTAATGCAGTAAAAGAGAGCAGGAGCGAGAGAGTGGGATTTTATCGGAATGAACAAGGGGGTTTTGCTTGCCTGGCACTTCTGAAGATAACATTGAGTCTTCATCAGTGTCAACGATCACATCATCGGTATCACGTCTATCGAGAGGGGACAAATACCGGCAACACAGAAGGGAACACAATCAATGCAATGCACAATATGATGCATGATCATGACATGGCAAAATGAATGTGTTTTGGGCTAATGCACCTAGCTATGATTTAAATGAAGTTGGTTTGAATACATGATTCAAATTCCAACTCCATATATGATTATTTAAATGCCCTTTATTTGTTTTTTCCAAACAGAGGACAAACATTGTTCAAACATGCATGAAAATGGTACAGATGGATTCCTTGAATTTTTCTGATAATTTTTCATATATAAATTATTTAATTTGGAGTTACGGTTGAATTTCTATGAATTTTAGAAGTTTATACAATTTTCTGGAATTTATAAATCATTTCCTAATTTATTTAAATCCAGAAAGGAATTATTGCGTCAGCATGACCTCATGCTGACCTCAGCAGGTCAACGGGCGCCGTCCAGGTCAAACTGACCTGTGGGCCCTGCGTGTCAGTGTCTGGACTAACTAACCTAATTAGAATTAACCCTAACTAACTTGGTTAGCCGGGCGGGGCCCGCATGTCAGTGGGAGAGAGGGGAGAGTCAAACCGGGCAGTGGGGTCAACCCACGCCAGTCAAGGGTCAACGGTCGCCGGCGTTTAGCCGACGGCGAGCCCGACGCGGCGGCGAGAGTGGTTTTGGCCGTTTCGGCAACCAAACGAGCCGCGGAGGGTGGCTATGGGTAGCTGGGAACATGCCGCAACTTCTGGTGGAGTCGGTTGGGGTCGGGGCGGCCGGAATCGGCGCCGACGACGAGCTCGGCGGCGGCCGAAGCTCGGGTGCAAGTGGGGATGGGGCTGCGGTGCGCAAACGAGCGCGGCGAGGTGCCTCGGAGGCTCTACGCGATGCGGGGAGCGCGTTGGGCGCATGGCCCGGACCAAATGGTCACCGGAGCATCACCGGCGACGAGTGCGGGCGGCGGCACGTGCGGTTGGATGTGGTGCGGCAGCTACAGCGTGCGAGAGAGGGAGCGGAGAGGGGGAGTAGGAGCAGGAGCTCACGGCGATGACGACGGAACGCTCGGCGAGGTCGGGGACGGTCCGGAGCCGACGAATTTGACGGTGATGGCCGGCAGGTCTGAGGTAGAAGACGAGCCTGGTGAGGTCGTTCGGGGGCTTCTGGAGGGGCGTGGCTCGGTGAGATGGGTCGAGGACAGAGTGGCGGAGCTTGTGGGCTAGTCGGGGAAGCGAGGGAGGCCCGGTGGCCGTGGTGGCAGTGGATGGCGGCGACGAGCGCGCTCGGGCGCGAGAGGGGGAGAGCAGAGAAGGGAGAAGGGGTCGGGAGAGAGTGAGAGAGAGGAGCGAGGGGGCTGCGTGGCTTCACCCGAAGAGGCCAGGGCGAAGCGGCAAGCAGGAGGTGGCCGGGGCGGCGTCGGCGCTCGCCACGCCTCGCCTCTGTCCTTCTGGCGAGGGAGGAAGACGACAGGGGGGAAAGCGGCGGTGGGCTGGGCCGTGCTGGGCCGGCTCTGCTGCAGGTGAGCGCCAGGTAAGTGGCTGGGCTGCTGGTGGGCTACCAGGTAAGGCCAGATAAGTTGCTCTTTTTTATATTTCTGTTCTGTTTTCTATTTAATTGCCACTGAATTCAAATTCAAACAAATTTGAAAACAGTGCCAAAACTCCCCTGGATAATTTTATGTCACTTAAGGTCTACTCCTCATAAACATAAAATATCTCAGGGCATTTGAAAATATATTCATTATATATTATGAATATAACTCCAAATTCAAATAAAATATTGATTTAAAATCAGAGCCCAAATAATTCCTTAGAAATGTCCCAAAATTTTGGTTTGATTTATAACTCTTGCCAAAATTGTCAGAGCTATTTCTAGGGCATTTTGGATTTACTGATTGCAATTTTAGGGTTTCGTGCCCCTTTATTAAAATGATTTCTGAGGCTTTCAATTTCCTCATTTCAACTTTCGGAATATAGACATGATGCACACATGAAGCTAGCCTAGAGCATTACCAGAAGCTAGGGATGTGACAACTCACCCCCACTAAACAAGAATCTCGACCCGAGATTCAAGTGTAGGGTAAGACGAAGGGGAAACGCAAACTAGTATAATCTTCACGATCCAGGGTGCACTTCATAAAAGCGTTGATTCGATCACCATCTTTGTCTTGTCGTCTTGCTCTGAGAACTCCAGCCAACACGACCACGAGAGGAGAAGGAGACTCTAGAAGGATTGATCTTCTCGAAGATCGAACAACTTAGGATCAACTCGCAGAATGAGGCATAGTAACACCACTCGAGCTAAGACACAAAACACACATCTAGAGGGATGGAGTGGAACAAATGACGAGGGTTCACTAGGTAGACAACAATTCCACGCTTAAAAGGGTGGTGAATGGTTGTCAACGTAGCGAGGAGTTGAGTTGCCATGATACCATAACGATGCACCTTAGGGAAGGTGACTCGTAGAAATATCCCCTTAAGTGGCAAAAAGAATTACCTTTGATTCAAAGATCATTGAAACTCTTTATACCAGCTTAAGGCAATTCATAATCGATCATTTAGAGGGGTTCGGTAGAATGGCATACCCGAACTTGGATGAT